ACAATTTATCTGCCGCACGCCTGTGGAGTACAAGCAGGTTGAAGGCAACACCGGTTAGCGATAACCGAAACTACCGTCTCTCTCTATACTGTAAAGTCAGAGCTCTTAAAGAGCTCAAGCACATTTTTCTGTCAAATGAAGTTTACATTTTCATTATAGTATAGATAGATTTGTTCATGGGATGAGTGACAATAAAATAATAATCTCGAGCTCCTCCATGATTCGGAATGTCGGCAACCCGACCAAAAGTTTTGTTATTTTTTGGTAGTGGCAACACTGCCTTTTTCATTATGTCTTCTCAACTCTGATGCGAATACGGTGTGTTGTAAAATTTGGCTTTGATAAAAATAAAAGTAATTTTCACAAGTAAAGGGTGTTTATTCGTGCATGGACCAACCCAACAAGTACGCTACACGGAAGGCACATTATACCATTGTTCCTTGCTGTATCTGCAGTCGTCGACATATCGATAGTACGGATATTCCTACATTAATTATGATTTTACGGTTAGCAAAATTATCAATAAATGAACATAACATACGATGATCTAACATTTTTAAAATAACTACTCGCGGTAGTAAAGATTTCCAAAACATCTTTTGATATCACATCTTAATTGTATCCTATATATTCTTACAAGCTTCTAACGAGTAATCTCTTACTGCGTATACATTAGAAGCTAGACACTTAATTAGAAACAGCTGAATATTATTCGGACTTTATATCTGTTTCTGTGGTCCAAGTGAAGTGAAGAAAATATATTAATGACAGTGAGTTCTAGGTCTGTTTTACAGGTAATGATGAGTGCCTAATTAATGTGAGATATATTAAGCGACAGAAACTATAAAGACAGAGCAAAAATAATAAAAGTCACTATATTTTGATCCAAACCTGGGTACAGGACATATTACTAGATTGAAGACATTCTTACATTAACCTACTCGTAATGCCTACCCAGCGCTATTGGATCGATGTCTTGGTTGTGGGCCACTCTGCCACCCGGGTAGATATGTTTTGAATTAGTCGTACGACTAGTTCTCTCGTACAATCGTAGCCAATTAAGAAACACTTATTTAAATAGAACTACTTTTAACGGACTAAAACCGCATTTATATTCGGTTATTTTAAGACGTTTTGGATCCATTACCGTGAAGGATAGACTTAATTCAAATTAATATCTACTGTGTGGTAATATGAATATGGTTTGTAGTATTTTAGTAATTGCAACACATGAAGACACAAACTACCAACATCCTTCTTCACAAACGAAATACCAACTAAAACCTATTTTGTATACTGACTCGATCTGATAATTAATTTGTTAATTGATCTTGATTCATTAACATCATAAAGACTATTCACATTCTCTGAACTTGTGCCACGCAAACAGAGATGCTATCACTTACATCTGGCTTAACCCGCTAATCAATCATGGCCAGGCATTATGCCACTGATATTAATTATATTACACCCGATCCTATCAAAGCCTAATATTCTTCCTGATTTATTGACGTTTATACATAAATATTCACGTCAACTTATAGGTTAAAAGGATTATTGTAGGTTGATAAAATTTCAGATATAAAGTTATTAATATTCTACTTATACTATTACAGTACTACTTATAAACAAGGTTTAGCGTTGGAGTAAATTTACGCTGAAACTGCTCTTCGTATTAGTCAAAATTCATATTATTAAACAGAGACTTAACTAAGGTACTAGGTTATACCTAGTACGTACGTAAAGTTCTACGGGAGTAATATTTGCTTCTAGAAGGTAGTAGATTTGCTTATTCTCTCTATAATATGAATATGAAGTAATTAATACTAAAATTGCAATTTTAGCGTAAATTTACTCTGACGCTAAACCTTTTTTATGAGTAGCACTGTTAATATACTAATGTGTTACAACATCCTTTTATACTATAAATAATTGTAATAGAAAAATACTTGAACTCGATAGCGCAGTGAATAACGCGTTCGATCTGCGATATGGCTGTTAAGCGAATTTCTCGACGGCCGGTATTAGGATCGGTGACCAAAATATTATTATCTCGAGCTCTTAAGCGCTTCGGAAGGCACGTCGTTTGTCCCAGCTGCACTCGCAGTCGTTAATACCCACCCATCCGCACTGGATTGGATTCAATGCCATCCATAGGGAAGGTCTTTAAGGAAGGTCTTGAAGGCCTTTAACCCGTAACATTAATAGGTGGTGAAGATGACGATGACCTGAGTGTTATGGAAAAACATTAAGTCGTAAATAAGTTTTTGGCAACGACTAGTTAGAAAAGTTTTGTGAAAAATAATGGGTCTATAAGAAATATATTTTTAATGTGACACTATGATTGTCAAAGCCATGGATATCAATCCTAGAATTAACTAATTTTATTTAGATAAAGCAATCGTTTGTAATTATCCTACTATTGTCAATTATTCATACTCGTAATTGATTTCACATCAGATTTGCATTCTTAAATTCCAAAATAAATGTTGTACAAAATCTCGTAAAAGGCAGACAGACATACATTCAAATAACGAAAGGCTTCATTATGCAGCATCAGAATGATCCCACTTTGACTTGCATGAGCTCACTACTGGCATTTACATGTTGTCGTTATAATCTAGATAGCTTAATGTCTGAGTAGAGGTAGGTTAAAATCTTTTGTTAAATACCAACAATCCAACATAAAGATGAAGAAACTATATTTTAAGTAAGTTACTATATTTTTTGAAGTAACAAGTTAAGTTTTTATATTTTTTTGTTTTAACTCTACGTACATTCTGAAGGTTTTTATTATGATTTTATGTCTACACTATATATGTAATTTATTTAACGCAAGAAGATTTTTATTATTAAGAGATATTGAGGTGTGTTCATAAGAGTTGTTTGAATTCAGTCGCTCAGTTCGATAAGATGAGTAAACCTGAACTTCAGTCTTGTTTCTGTTATTATTTCCTAATTCATCAATACAAACCTTGAATTCAAAACTATGTCTATACTTTGTCTTTTTAGACTTGAAATAAATAAGTTTACGTAATTTTACCGCAGTCAGATTACCATCCATTTCAGTGTTTATATTATAGCACAGTCCTGACACTTAATCCGTCCATACAACTTGTATATGCTAATACTCTGTATTGAGTAAGCAATGATAAATATATGCGAACGTGAACCAGTGTTCTAGATTAGGAATTATACACATGACCGGATTTGAGCAAAATCAAAACTATAGTGATACTAAAAAAAAATAATTCATATTCCAGTGACATACCTAAGCATTGTAAGTTGAAAATGTAAAATTTTGTTGATAACAGCAATTAAATTAAGAATTACATTAAGTTTACTATTTGATGGAAAAACTGACTTTGATTTTAATACTATGAATGTGGTATGTAATTGATTTTGAATGCTTAGACTACATAGTGATAAAGAGAACTCTTATAGCTATTATAACTAAACGAATAGAGTAATTTTATGTTAATACTTGAAGAATAATAAATTAAATGAATAAAATATTAGTGACTCCCAGTATATTGGAATACTTACGCTATATCTTTCATTCATTGAGATCAAATCAGGGCTATGCTAGAAGATAAGCATGTTATAGTATATTTCAAATATAATTTAATTACAATCGTTCAGATTCTAAAAACTTCAAAAAGCACAGTATCATTTTATTTGGATTTAATGTATTGTACTAAAATATTCGATTAAAATAAATGAAATAAAACATTTTAGCCAAAGATTCAACAGCTGTTTTTCTAGTAATGTTAACTTTTCATCTCACTGATAATAATTTAATGGGAATTCCAATGGAAATTTTATTTTGCTTTAAAGAGTCCTAAAATATTATTAATATCTCAAATATTTGAACAGACATCTGTGTTCTTTAGGTTGCTAAGATAAATGGATATATTAATGTTAGTGAATCCTATTGTAATCGACAGCAAGAACAGAGGACTGTAGATCGTTTAATAATATGACTTTTAACAGAGAGAAACATTTATTGATCAACGAACAAAGGCAAGATATATTGAGAATACATTGACAAAGTCAAAAAATAAAAAAATATAAATTAAAAACAAGTATAAAAGCCTCCTTAAAGAGGCCAGTAATAATATTTCAAAAACATGATAAGGCTGTCGGCAACACCTATTAATATTATAAATGTGAAAGTTCCTTTGTCCGTCAATCACGCCGTAACTACTGAAAGGATTTTGATGAAATTTGATATACAGATAGGGTATTAGCTGACTTAGATAAAAGGATACTTTTTATCCCACTAAACCACTTGGGTGAAGACGCTGGCGAAAGCTATAAATTATGTATATATAATTAAAGGCTCATTATATTCTCATCCATGAATATGACAAAAAGCATGTTGAACTCTTTACTCATACTTACGTAGCTTTAGGGTTTGGTGTAAATCTAATGTAAGATACGTCAAGCATCTCTCGAAAGTATGCGTTAGTTTGCGACAGACCAAAGCAAAATCGACGCTTCTTAGATCAGATGTGTATCGACCCTTGATAGGGTTAATGATTTTTTTTTTTTTTCAAATAAATCTGTAGTTTTATTCTTAGAACCAATTTTTAGAATATCATCAACTTCATCATATTCAATCCTACTCTATGATATAAATGCGTAAGTTAGAGTAGGACAGACGACAAAACAGTTCACGATAATTGAATTTTGGTTTCAAGAATTACATATGATTGTCACTTTTTGACCACTTCCGGGGTTTAAATAATTGAAGTAGAGAAAATAGAACAGTGCTAAGTGGTGCGTAATTATAAAATGGTTGATGGATATTATTATAATTATATGAAATCTAAGAATGTACTCTAAAAAATATCTATATATATCTTTCACACCGTAGATAGATGAAATGGTATACTACTTAATCAGTAGCTTTGTCATTTAAGTAGCAATTTTTTTTATGAAATGCATAGTTTAAATGTATGTAGTGATCGTAAAAATCAATTCTGCGTTTGTTTCAGATGTCATATCAGCGAATGTAACCACATAGAGAATACAAGTTCATGGTTAACTAATGTTATACCATTAGTAAAAGACGAACTATCCAAATGCACAAGATATCCGTTAAGGAAAAATATAACAGTAGACAATGTCACGTGTAGCTCCGAGCAGTTCGATACGTCAAAAGAAGAAAAATGTCTATCCTTTGATTACCTGGAAGATTACTCAATCGTCTATGATGTAAGTAACAACTTTTTATTCATAATACTCTAGTAAAAGCTCTAAAATTTATGTTATTATAGATATATTATTCTGTCTAACTTTGTCTCTCGCTAAACGAAATCAGTTGGCTAAGAAAACTGCAACTTTGTTAAACTCAACTAATCAGATTCATGTCGTATTTGAAAAAAAGTAAACAATGTCCAACCACAGTCCACAATTTTAAAATAACATAACAGTCTTTCAGATTCCACAGTCTAAAATAAATAGTTTTGTTGATATTATATCATAAAGATGGTCTTGTTGAAGCAACAAATGTGACGTCAATTGAAATTAATTAGAGTATGAAAGGGGAACGGACCTCCCGTGGGAACCCAGTCATTGGAAAACCGATCGGAATGCGCACCCCGATTCCGAGATACGGCATACTACAGATTCCGGTCAAACAATTACGGAAACCAAGTTCATTGAGTTGAAGTAATTTATTGCATTATATTAATCTTGACCTTGTTCAATGTTAGAATCGTTCAAACTGAATTGAAAAACAAGGCATATATTGAAGATATTTTGTATTAATATTCTAATACTTTTTATACATAAAAGTATTTTGATTCATAAATGATATTATTTGTACACGCGGTTTCCTAACTAGCACAATGATAAATAGTTTCGAAAATTTATGTTACCTTATCTGACTCTAGTTTTAAGTTTGATAACTCTGCGTGGATTTTCAACAGACAATTTATAAATATATGAGCCATAGATAAAGTCACGCGACATTCACGTGTATTTGACGCATGTTTAACGCACATGTTTGTGTATAAATAGTGCGTTTTCGCGCTAACTTCAACGATGAGAATTGAAAATATCTGCCGAATGTTTTGTATGGTAGATAAAATACGAAAGGAAATATATATTTCTTTTATTTATATTAAAATTATAATACAAAAAAAAGAGTTAAGGGTTATAATAAATAATTGAATCCTCTGTTCGTAGATTGAAATGTCAAATATATTTTTTTTAATAGAAAGTTTAAAAATATTCTTTTTTGTTGAAACTTTAAGCAGTGAAGTATGAATTTCGTATTTTGATATAAGTTACTTTTAAATTGTCAGTAGTAAATCTTATAGAACAAAATATAATTGATTCATTACTTTTATTTTAGTTTGACTTGGGCTGTCAAAATTGGAAAAGAACACTGGTCGGCACGATTCACAATGCTGGACTGTTTGTATCATTACCTCTGACAGGCGTGTTGTCGGATAAATTTGGAAGGAAAACTGCCCTCGCTGTGGCATCTTTAATGAACGGTGTCTTCGGACTGATAAGATCTTTTGCTGTAAACTACGAGATGCTGTTGGTCTTCGAATTCTTGGAAACAGCACTTGGAGCAGGAGCTTATAGTACAGCGTTCGTTTTAGGTAATTTATAATTAATAACAAATTGAAACGAAATATCATGTTTTATCACTACTTTTTCATAAGTCCTAACGCGATTTTAGACATAATTCATATATTTAAGGTTATGTATTTCTATTTTTAGCTATAGAGCTGGTGGGACCTAAAGGCAGAGTATTTGGAAATACTATTATAAACGTAGTTTACGTTTTTGGTCTTATGTCTCTCTCTGCCTTATCTTGGCAACTTCAGAATTGGAGAAGTCTTCTGCAGATCGTTTACACACCAGCTTTGTTAGTTTTCTCGTACCTCTGGATTTTAAATGAGAGTGTGAGATGGCTTCTTAGTAAAGGAAGATCAGACGACGCTGTAAAAATACTCAGGGGAGCAGCTAAAATGAATAGAGTTGAGCTACCAGAAGAATTATTGGCACCTCTAATGGAAGTCCAAAAAGTTCCTCTCGTTGATAAAGAAGAGCCAGAGGTAGAAGCGAAACCTGATTCAACATTAGCAGATGCCATTAAATCTAAAATTATATTGAAACGTGTGGTTGTGTGTTCGTTCTTATGGATTACTTGTACATTTGTTTACTATGGACTTTCTATTAATTCGGTATCGTTAGCTGGTAATAAGTATGTGAACTTTATGCTAGTGGGTTTTGTGGAGATACCTGCAAATTTTGTATGTTTACTGGTATTAGACAAGTATGGAAGAAAAAGGACATTAATCATCACCTACGTTTTGAGTGCGTGTCTTTGTATGAGTCTCTCATTCCTGCCAAAAGGTGAGCTAATAATATATTTTATTTCATTAACTTAATTAAAAGAACAATGAATATTTTCTCAATGGCATAGTATATAAAAAAATTATACTACTACTAACTATCACATTATGAGTTTTAAAAAGAAGCTACACACCGTGTACAAGTTGTCGCAGATAGCTAAATAATCTTTCTTGATAATATCGCCGTACATTCACAATAATCAATAGATTTTATAATCAACACATAAACGAAAATCTGTTATTATCTGTTAGAATTTTGTTAATTGAAGAAATATTCAATTATCTAAATAAAGGGCCTAGAAAATGTATAATAATTACCGAAATATGTATTCTATTGGTATAATACAAGTTAATTAGGTTTAATTGGCTACTCTATAATAACATAAATGATACGATCCAACTTGGGGAGCAAATTATTGTTTCAATAAAACAAAAAGCCTCAATATGAGAAATCAATTACATTTCGTGATTGGAGATGCTAATTATTTCAAAGGCTCTTTCAAATACTTGATCAAATTATTCAATTATTTTCCCTACTTTAATAAATTGTTTATAGTATTTATATCAACTAAATGTATAAACATCTGGCAATATTATTAAAAATTCTGAACTTTACTTAATCTTATATTGGTATTGGTAAATCTTTGTAGAAAATATTACGAAAACCTAGTTTATTCTGTGACTTTACATTGCCTGTGATTTTCTCATAGATTTAAAATGCAGAGAAATATAAAAAATAATAGAGCGTATAACATTTTGTAGACTTTTTCGATATCAATTACAAAATACAACTAAATGATTTTAACTTTTGCTTCAAATAAGAACATGTATTAAGAACCCTAACTAAATTTTAATCTGGCTGTACTAGATGAATTACTTAGTCTTGAATTCTAATAATATATTAGAATGGCAGGACTTTATCAATTAATATAACTGAAAACATTTCTCTCTCTAACAGATCAAAAATGGTGTTCCCTAGTAATCTACCTCTCTGGGAAGTTTTCTATCACAGTCGCCTACAGCTCAGTGTACATCTATGTGTCCGAAGTCTTCCCGACCAGCGTTAGACAGTCTTTGTTAGCTGTATGTTCTTCACTAGGCAGGGTTGGCTCGACATTAGCACCATTGACGCCATTGTTGGTAAGCACTTAGTTTTTATCTTAGCCCATCACAAGTAAACAAACTACCATGAATGATGTATTTGTATTCCTAGTGTTGCCAGTCAGTAAGTCCATAAATCGTTTCTATGTAGACCCTAGACAAATATACTATTCGATGATAGTAACTGAATTATGATGGTGCATACAATCCATTTCTCCAATTATATTTTATTATATTAGCACCAAAACCCAACACTACACACGAAAAAAGTCATCATCACCAGCCCTTTTACGTCCCCACTGCAGGGGCTCAGGCCTTCCTTATGGATGGTTAAGGAGGATGGGCCATGACCCTCCACGCTGGCCCAATGTGGATTGGAGGGTATTAACGACTGCAGATGCAGCCGGGACCAACGGCTTAACGTGCCTTCCGAAGCACGGAGTGGCTCGAGATAATAATTTTATGGTCACCCATCCCGTGACCGACCCGACACACGAAAAAAAGTATTAGAGTAGAAAAGGAAAGAAATGAAACTGAAATTTTATTCAAAAAAGGTTTTTTATTTTGGTTACTTTGCCTTGCAATAGTTTAAATTGTGTCTAATAAATCACAAAATGCCTCTGTCTCTGCTGTGACTGTACGATGCCCTTAATCAATGAGGAAGTATTTTAAAAAAAATTGTTCTGAAAATCAAAATAGGGAACTATCCGTTGCCAAGTGTTTTAAAAGAGTTGTTTTTTACTAATTTAATGATCAAAATTTTGTGCAACCTTCTTTTACACAGTCAAGCGAGTTATAGTTTGTCTGAAACTTTTTTGAGGAGGGTCCGCTAATGTAAATAGTTGCGACTATGATAGAAGAATCGAAATATTATTTTCATTTGTAAACTATAGCGTCTGGTTTAAATTATTCGTTTCTACGACGTCCATATTTGGGTGCTTCTTATTAACGTATTTTAAAAAACTAATGTGTTTTACCTCGTGCGACAAAACCGCATCGTAAACTTGCACTATCGTAACCAATTAACACCAATTGTCAATAAACGTTTCTTTTAATTAATAAAGTTCAAACCCATCACACGGATAGTAAATATAAGCATATCAAAATACTCACAAGGCACTATAAATGTCAAGAAAGGTAAATTAATATCTCTCTCTAATTCCGCTCATAGTAAAACATCAAACATTAATAACTCCTCTTAATTTGTTTAATGAGAGAAGCTGATAGACACAACTTTATAAAACATCATATAGATATATAATTATTTCAATAGAAAACTTGAGTAGTTAGATAGTTTTTCTAATGTTTTCTTATTTGTTCCTCACCAATGAAAAGGAACTAAATTTATTATAACCCACAATAAAGTTAGGTTGCTACAGAAGTTGATTTTGGGCATTAATTAAATATCATAAGAATTAAACTTGAAATTGGAGAAATTATTATCGCAATCGAAAAAGAATCAACAAATTATGATAATATCAATATGTATACTCATAGCACAAAGATATCCGGATAGCAGACTCCAAGCAGGCCTTTAATATTATAAAAACATATATTTAGTTCGCCAGTTTTAATCAATAATAAATGATGTTTCGACGAACTCAATTAAGGCCTAAGGCTAAAGTTTCTGCTATCTCCCTTGGTAGAGCAGTCACCCGGATTACGAAAGGTTACGGACACCTGGGACATTTCAGTTTTCTATTAGATTTTACTGTGTTTAACTACGTTTTTTTTATCAGGCCCTGTACTACGACAACCTACCCGCCATATTCTTCGGGAGCTTGGCTTTGATCGCTAGCGTGTTAGTATTTACTCTACCAGAGACTATCAACATGCCTTTACCTGATACTATAGAAGATGCAGAAAGGTTGTCTAGAAGAAAAGCCGAGGAAGAAGACGCATAAGTCACTTGACATTTTATGGACTTTAATTTAATATTTACCAAAGCCAAAGCTCAAAATAATGTAGTAGATATTAATGAATTAATGATTACTTAATATTAGAATTATTTGCCAAATGCCCATTGAAAATTATTAAAATACTTTGCACAAACGTCCAGTAAATTATCATTGATTTAATACGACTTATACTTATTGTATCCATATGTTTGTTTTGTCCATTGGTGTACAATAAAGATTTTTCATTAATTATTTCAAATTTAGAACATTCATTATAGCTTAAAGTCGTCTTTAAAACTTAATGGACGTTTTTGCAATTGACCAGTATGCTAAAATATATTGTATATTTTAATTATTCCTTGATTTTGTATAAAGAATAGATATTATTATATTTTCACGCGCGCTATTCATAAATGAATCAACTTTCAAATGGTTTCATTTATTAATATATATTATTTATCAAGTATTCAAAGAAGAGTGTCCAATTTTAACCTGAAAATTAACTAACGCGGTCTAGTGACGGGATAGGTAAAAAATTGCGAGGTGAGGAAGGATTCGAAGAATCGGAGGATTACTTTTAAATAATACTGTGTAAACTACTCGAATGCGATTCGGGCACTAAAATACCTGAACGCGTTGACCTCACTGCAATTCGAACTCAATGACGGTTTACTTAGCTTTGTTTCATGTAATACGAAAAAATTTTCGTTCATCATATGACAAAAAAGTCACATTAATAATTAAATTTAAATTTATTTCCATATTTACGAGTCAAACTTTAAAAAACTTCGATTTTAATGCATTCATTTTATAGTAGGTTCATAATTATTTCGACAGCTTCTTCACTAGTTTTAAATTCAAAACATTATTTACTAATTACGTATCTCCCTAGCCTCTGAAAAGATGTTAAGATATTATTTTATTTAAACAAAAATTAATTGGAATTCTCCATAATGGTGAGTAAAGTCTGTCTCACGAAAGAAGTACCGCGGATAACTCTTATCCCTTTGTAATAAAAGCGAAGATATTGTGATCCGAGGGACTCAATTCGTTAGACAAACTCTAGACGCGACCTATAAAAAAATATATGACAGGTCAATCAGTGCATGGAATGTGAACATGATTCTATATAATTATAATTTATGTTTGTTTAATGAAAATTTTAGATAAACTTTTCTATATTTCTTGTAGACAAAGTTAAGTCAATTCATATTATGATTTCATAAATTTAGTTTGATATTTAATTTTTTTTTTTATATGTTAGATAATGTAATCAAAATATTATATAGTATACATACCTAAATATATAAAAAAACTAAACAACTTCCTTCCAATAATTGGAATGGAGAATCAGCTATTTTTATTTGGTTTAAATAAGTTCTCAAAATCATTAACTTCAAACAATTATTTGTTTCGTTTCGACTTGTTTAAAACAATGTATGATATAATATAAAATTGAAGTAATTTTGAAAACTTATTTATATATATATATATATATATATTTCCCTGAACTGATTTATAGAAACATTACATAAAAAAAAATACATAACCATCTGGCCGCACAAATATAAATTATAATCATCATTTTATAAGATTAAAAAATCATTAAAATTAGAACTCTAGCGTCCATATTGACAGATTCAAAAACAAAAGAAAGACTTTTCTTAAACTAAACATAAGTATTGTGATTCTCAGACTTAACATGTACAAAATAAAGTCGATTTTTAGTATTTCTCTTTATTGATAAGCTATTTGAAATAATGTGTATCGCTTTTATAACGCTGAAATATGTGATTTAAATGAAATTCTATTGACAAAAATATACAAACGGGGTCATAATTCCTAGAAGGCAATTTTTTGTAATACTTTTTATATTAGGTCTTATGAATAAGATATTTTACCTCAAATGTAAGGAGCAATAATGGTGTTTTGTACAATTTTTGGAAATAAATGTACTTATTTGCCTCTTTACGTGTTGTTTCTCGCTCCTTCTTAAGCTGGTTGTCTTATTTCATAGTCCATCGCTATCCCATTCAATCTGCCATTTGAAAGACATTCAAAAACTTCTCGCAACAACTATTCGATATGTGACAATGACTGCGGGCCCGACTTTTTTTGTAAGATAACGTTAATTTGACGTTAATTAGAATTGTTTAAGGCAAGCTCTACACGCAATTATCATTGACAGCGATTGAGAAATGTCAAATAATAATAATAAAATTGTTTATTTGTCTTTTTTAAAAACATAAAAACAGCAAACCATATTACTTTAAATGTTATCTTAGAGGTACCTTCAAACATTTCAATATATACTGTTTATTACATAGATAATTAAGATCCTGCAATAATGTGAATTTAAATAAGATTCAAAACATATATCAAAGACAAAACGGTCTATGACTCAGTAGCCGCAGACATGCAAATCCACTGCTCCTGTTATTCTGTCATAGCCTTTTCCAAAAAAAAATACCATACGAGTCGAATACCATCTGCAACCTTAAGGCCGGTTTAACTAAATATTAATTATATTTTTTGATAATTGAACTCATCAGTCGTTTCAAAACAATTGTGACTTAAATTGTAATTCCGTGAATTGCTATCACAATCACTATGCCTCAGAAAGGGATTGTGATAGTTTTTAATATTAACCAATTAGCCCACATAACGGACTCCATCCACATGGATGGACCAGTCCTGAAAACTCTTCGTCGCTCTTCCAATTTGACTCTATCCATAGTAGACGCCTGTGCTCTAGCTACAACAGTGAACACAATGGTAGACTAATGGTGATGTTATACTGTTATAATTAAATGTCTATGAATTCCTATTAAAATAGAAAAACACAACATAGACGTTTCCTATTGCATTGTCGTCATGCAATAGGAGACCGAGGCTTGAACACAATAATAATCTTATTAATATTATAAATGTGATAGTTTCTTTGTTTGGATGTTTGTACGTCAATCACGCCGAAACTACTGAACGGATTTTGATGAAATTTGGTATACAGATAGGATGTTAGCTGACTTAGATAATATGATACTTTTTATCCCACTAAACATTTCCCTAGGGTCCACGCGGGCGAAGCCGCTGGCGAAAGCTAGTATTGAATAAAATCAGTTTTGGATTGGACTGCCGTCAGACAACATATTGTTCTAAAACAGTGAAATAAATCGTGTTGTTCATAAAAAATTAACGAAGTGTAAAATAAAATAAGTTGTAAAAGTTGTGTCAAAAGTGGGATTCTATTGAGTTTTTCCGCCGTTTATGCTGGTATTAAATAACAACGTAGCAAAAAAAAAGGGACTGAAAGTTAACAAGTGCTAATCCAAATCCGGAGTGTAGTTATTACACTTATCAAACTCTCCGTCTCCTGTAGTTGTGTCGCGACAATAAGGCTTGTTTCGTATAAGCCTGCCGACCAGCATCTAGACGCGCTGCTGCCACCGTTGGTGAGCCGCACTTGTCGTCGCCGCTGAAATGACGCCGTCAAGCTGCCAAGAGTCTGCGTCATCTTGCCGCCGCGATGCTGCTGTGTCATATTGGTTCTACCACTACGTTCCTGTTTAGCTGCCGCCTCACATGGCGAATCACCCTTGCTGTCACCGTTGCTGTGACTCACTTTTGCTGCCAAGCCATTCCTGACCGTAACACTACCAATCATATTGTAACAACTATTATTATTGTTATGTATATTATATATTTACTTTACGGACACTATATTGTTCTGAGTCCTATTAATTATTGCCAAGAGATTGAGTAATTTAAAATGAAAATAGATATCCTATTTAATTCTGTATTCTTCACTTACACTTACCTATCTATAAATAATTACTAATAAAAAAACGTGTGCAACCGTGGAGGCTGAGGGACGTCTGTGGCGTTACATCGGTACAGCGGCGATGTATAGGAATCAATGAACTATGAGCCTTTGTTACGTTACCATTAGAAATTTGTGTTAAATACCGTTTTCTAATATTCGAACACCTATCTCCAAAAGTGAAGTGAGTATTTTTACCGAGTTTAATATGAAAAAGTATTAAATTATAAAAAATAAAATTCCAAAAATAAATTTACTGATCATCTCTTGTGGGAGATAAGTGTAAAACGTACTTTGAGAATGAATTAAGATAAAACACCCTTATTTAATTAGATTTCAATTATTCAAGTAGCATTAATTGCTATATATTTTTCTAAGGCGTTAAGGTCCTCTATACACCTCCGCTTTCGTGCCTATACAAATACGCATCGAGAGTATCGCATCACTTGATTTCATACATTTTTATCATAGAAATAACAAATTCAGTTATAAAGATCTATTCTTTTTAGCCGACTTCAAAATCCAAAAGGGAAAATATATAATGTTCGATGGCGATGTATGTTTTTATGCATGTTCACCGATATTTCTGCCAACTGTTGGCCGCATCTCAAAATTCGTTTTTTATTCGAAAATTTAATGGACCGAGATGGTCCTATTAAATTTTATCAAAATCGTATCAGTAGTTTTCCTTGCAAGCTTTTCACCAGATGTCACATAATATTAAGATAATATGTTCGGGAAAAGTTTAGCCAGAAAAATTTATACAAGTTTATGCTTACCATATGCGAAAGGACTTTTCTCCAACCTAATATTTCAGCCAAAAGGCAAAATTTCTTTTTTAAATTCATTCAAAATTTGAAAGAGGGTTTTCTATGTTCAAGGCATATAAGATACATATGTTTATGAAAGTAGTATGTTCATGGATTTCTTCTTGAATTATGAATCAATTTCTATCAAACTAGCTGTCTCCCCGCGACTTCGCCTGCGGAAATTATAACGTATGTCCAACGCGGCCCAATGGTTTTGGAGCCTATTTAATGCAAACAAACGAGCAATCAAATATTTCTTCTTTATAATATGATTATAGAATTATTGGACAAAATTATGTCGAGCAATAAACAAAATCTCCTCTTCTAAGACTTTCACTATGTTGAATATTTTTATTTATAAAGATATTTAATACTAA